TTCATCTGCCGAACCGTGACTAAAGACTTCATTAGTCGCGGTTCCTACAGTTTCGCGACTAATGGGGCTGGACGGAAGCCTCTTTTTCTACTAGTGGTAGTTCCAGGGATAGTATAATAGTTTTTGCTTGTAGCTTGAAGTCTCAAATGCTCGATATATAAGAAAACAGAGAATTTTAGACCCGATAAATGCATCATCATTATTCTAGAAACAATGGAGAGAAAATTGTTTTAGACCCGATAAATGCATCAGCATTATTCTGGAAACAATGGAGAGAAAATTGTTCATCGACAATCATAGTATGCAATGCATATGGGAACAAGGAGGTTCAATAACACAATTAATATACAAGGGAGAAGTTTTCTAGAACCTGTCCTAGTGAAGAGATGGATTAGCTAGATTACTGGCACCAGCAAAGAGTAAATAGATTGGGCGACCTACGACAAGTAGGTAGAAGGCACCTGCAAGAACTGTGGGGTCGAGCGTTACCAGCGAAACAACTGCACCAAAGGTCCAGAACTGAGACTCCCAGATGTGTGTTGAGCTAGCATGCAAGACTCGAACATTTGATGAAACGATGTGTCCACTAATTCGATGAAACGGTGTAATGGTTTCAGAAAACATTTTCTGGATATTTGCTTATCAGTGTTGTGCTTAATAAGTACTCCTACCTCATGTATTCTATTTGTACCGGTTGATTGGTGGTCAGGTTGGAAGCTGATGTTTGGATGAGCTGCAACTTTGTAATGAGCTCGATTTCAGGAGCTGGTACTACAAGATCAGTTATTCTTGTAGCATGGAATACATGAGATAGATTGCTTGGTGTACTATTCTCCAAACTAAATGATGTCTGCATTGAACGCTAGCTTTTCTACAGGTGCCATCAGTACTCTGCTTATCTGTGGATGGGTTTTGCATAAATTTGAAAGTTGAACTCCTGCGCACCATCTATAGATAGACAGTGAGAGGCTGGGAGAACTGAATGTACAGTCTGGTTCAGTCATCCACCCAGCTGAAGCTGCACATCTCCAAGAGAAATCACTGGATGGCTCCATCTCGCTTCTCCGGTGCCTCCTCTGCAATCAGGGAGCGGGTGCAAGGTCCACTTATCATGGTGCTTTACCGGAGGTGAGGACTGAGGCATTATCACGACATCTGTTTCAGACTGCATCTTCTGTCAGTTAAAAATTCCGTTGGGTTCAGGAAGCGTTGCCGTTGGAACATAATCTTGCACGGAATGTCTCACGTCCTGTGCGACCGTCTGAGCCGGGCTAACTCAGACAAACGGCGTTGCATTGAGTTCTTCACACGTGTGGACCATGGGTGCAGAATAAGCACCAAAATACGAGTACAAAGCAAATACCTGGGTTTGTACGCTGCCAGTTGAGAATCTCAGAGTGGAAGGAGGTAGATAACAAGCACAACTGAGCTCGAGCTCAGAATATCACTTCCGAAACCCAGTCAGACAGTAGCAATTAAGGTCAGCACCGTGCCTCTCTCATGATGAGGCAATGGCTCTGCTCATACACTTGGCACCAGAAATACCAAGCCAAGACCCTCCTATTGAGATCACTTGTGTGCAATAGCAGCCAGCTGACTGGCTCCTTGTCCACATTTCTGCTCAACTACAGCAAGGTAGGCGCTGCAGTTCGGCACCCAGATACAAAGCAGCATCAGCAAGGCAGCTGTCATGTGAGCCCTTGAAAGCCAAGACAAGCGCTTCTACTCGCATCAGAGCTGGCACCGATATTGAGAGTATCATTCCTTGGGCTAGATACTGCCTGCAGGAGAATGCTAGGCTGTATAGCAGGCGAGTCAGCTGGAGGGAGACACCATGCTTCAACGAGTCCAAAAGAGCGCTCAGTTTAGGAAGATTTGTCAGCAAGCCCATCGTGGCCTCTTGAGGTGCTGCCTTGAGCAGCAACACCACGCAATCTGACGCCAAATCGCTTACCTGTGGATCTGAATTTCCAACCACCTCGAGAAATAAACCCATACTGCCACCGAGGTCGCATATATCCATGATGCAAGATTGTTAATCAACAGCAATGCTCATGCTGAAGGCGCTGTCAACAAGGAGTGCTGGTTCTTTGGTAAGGGCGATACTTCTGTTGCTGCCGATGCCACGGATAATGAAAGCTCTGCAGAGTTCCAAGGTTGGTTCCAGAAAATCATCCATATCTTTGGCAGTCACAAACTCAACTAGATTCCCTATTCTTCTGACAACTTGAAGCTGTGAAAGGACATTGGAGTCCATGTCAGGAGCAGATGCTAGAGCAAAACAAAGCTTCACATTGCTTATGTTTGCATTTGAAAGATCTCCAAGCAAAAATTCGAAGCACTGGGATACTGTCGCTTCATTCAGGATATCAGATACCTTAACGCAATCATGCTCCATCAGCATTACTAGAAGTTTCTGTGCATACATAGGTATTGGATCTTCATCCTCTGCAAATGAAGGGTACAGAGGGAGAAAATATTTGTGAGAGATTGTTTTCAGGTCAGCCAACGTTTGTTCGTCTGCGGTCAATGAAGAATCACTGAAGATCACAATCATCACATCAGACAGTATCTTCAAACATAGGAATCTGGCATCACAGTCTTTATTGCCCTTGTATAAGATGAATAAGCTCGGAAGGAATCGACTTGTGAATATTTTGTGTTCCGTAAGTATAACAGAAGACTCCTCGATAGCTGCCTCTAGAACTCGCAGCAATGTCATTTGGAAATCATCCCGAGCCTGGAAATACAATAAAGTGTACACAAATGACCACAAAAGACAAGAGTTTAGCGAACACATGGCGTAATGAGAAGACTCTGAAGGCAAGACAGCATCAACACTAGGATGAGTTTATTTTAGACATTGCAGTGCAAATATATAATGAATGGTCTCCATATTTTCGCATCAGGTTTGTTAGTATTAATCTTGTCATGGTCAGTTATGTGGAAGTTGTATCATAGCATGCAAAATTAGCTAGCTATGCATATGTCAGCAATGAGCTGCAGCTACACCCTTCAGATATCGGATATAGTTGTCAGCGGTAAAAAGTAAAATCTGATTTGACTTTGAGCTGTAGGCAGATACCAATATGTCCTAGACTGCAGTAAAAGTTTGCACTGAGCTGTCCTAGCTTAGCTATCAAGTATTGGTAGCATAGTTGGTTTGGTTAGTTCTATAAAAGGACATGCACTCCTATTTGTAAAAGTAAGCTTGTGCTGTTGATATCTAAACCTACAGAGCTTCATACTGTTCCTTGTGTGCATGTGTGTGAGAAAACAGTGAGTGAATCCTAGTTTTCTCTACTCTTATAAAAAACCGAGTTGGTGATGATGGTGTGCCTGCCATCCTGCAATATAGACCGTCCGATCTATATCTGAGGGATAGAAAGCAAACTATGGCAATTTTGCAAAAAGATACCCGCGCCCCTCTCCACATTTGCAAATAAGGCCTTCCCTCGTTCATCTTTGTCTCCCACAAGATAAACAACTAGTATAAATGCATCTTGATGTTCCGTGCAACGCATGGGCCTCTTGCTAGTAGAACCTAACAGTTCTAAGAAGGTTGGGTCCAGATAGTTATAGGCCATACCTGAAATGGCGTCTCCAATATCTTCATAAGATTAGCCAACTGGAGCAATACTTGACTTGTCACAACTCTGTGATAGAAGGATACGCTCCCAAGAAGATGAAGGATAACAGGGAACAAATGAATTGTGCTCTTTGGATGAGTACGTGCAGTTAAAGCAGTAATAGGTCCATGACGTTTGCCACCCATGACCTGCTGTATATCACTGGATACAGTGTCAAGAATGCCTGGGACCAACAAAGCAACTAACTGAACAAATGCTTCTGTACATTGGTGGATGAAACCATCCTTCTCCTTTCCCAATCTATCGACTACTGATAGCAGCTTTGCATTGCAAAAGAATTGTGGAAGCCACCTTCGACTGTTCTTGCAAAGAAGAGCAACAAATAGAAGGGTTTTTCCACGCAGAATGTCAGATCCCTGTTCTATCAGAGAAATAAGTCCAGGGACCAACTGTTTCTCCTCGGTTAACGACTGAATATAGCGGTTCATATTTGGTATGGTATGACTGTTCACTAATGCTGAATTCAGAAGATTCAGACTGATCTGTTGCTCACGTGGATTGCCCTTAAAGAGTGTGCATGCGATATCCTTGAACAATAGCTTCTCCAGTATTAAATGAGTACATGACGAACTGAATCGAGCTAGGCGGCTCAAACAAGAAATTGCAATAAGCCTTGTATTCTCCTGCTTCCCAGTTGCTTTATAGATGTAGCAAAGATGACCAATTGCATCTTGGGAAGCAAACCGTGATGTCCAATCTGTCCCTTGGCTACATATATTATCAATTGTTCGTAAGGCATAAAGCTGGGCCAGATCATCTTCCCCTTTACGCAAGATAGACGACACCAGTGCTATTACAGCACTAGGGACCTGCACAGCTTGCCAAGTTAAATCATGGGAAGACAGTAGTTTGAACTTGTAGCTGCAAATCAAAGGAAATGAACCGCCCATATGTATATCTAGTCTACATGACCACATACAGCTAAGATATTGATATAAATACCCTCATGTTCCAATACAGACCCTTTTATGTACTTATAATAACTGCAAAAGCTCAACACACACATTAAAAATAAACTTGTGTCTAGACACATGAATAAAGAATGGAGCATGTATTGGAACGTGAAGTCGGTATCTACCATCTATATATGCATATGTGCTCATTTAGTTCTTTCAGTTAATATACTTTCAACTCCTAATGAATTTCTACTTCAGTACAGTACGGTGGGCAAAGAGGATAAGCTCCCATAGAAGAATCAGTACCAACCATTAGAGATGTTGGAATCTAATTCCCAGTAACTTGCCACCACAACTTATCTTTTCAGAACGTGATGCAGTATAGGGCAATGCAAGGTAAGTCCATGTAAATCAACCACTGGCATGCAAAAAACATGTAGAGCTAGCATATTTTTCATTTGGAGTTTCTAACCTGCCACAAAGCACCAGATTTGTTGTCCTTCATAGGAGATTCTTCGGCATTGCTTTCCTTGCTATCCTGATCAAATTGTGTTGATATGTAGAACAGTAATTCTCCAAGTGTTGCCATACAGAATCTCCTCAGTTTATTGTGCCGGTCCCTTAAGCCATCTGACAAAGCATTAATAATTCCTGAACTAGCTAGCTCTGCATCAAGGATAGTGGAGTAGCGTACCAGCAGTCCCATAAGTGAAGCAACCTGGACACGCAAGACTGAAGTTTTCGATAGTCGGAGCATTCTTATAAGCAGCAACATAATTGGGCCATTAGTGATTATATTTGCAGCATCAGAGTTCATGCTTAACAACTCCAGGTATCTGATGATATTCTGTTTTTCTGAAACCTGAAAAGATCCACTCAAACTCTGAATTATCTGGCTATTGAATGCATTCACCTGTTCTCGTGGTAACTTGATATAATCAGCAGCAGTAAGAGCTTCAAAAGGAAGCACAGAGATGGTCTCTGTAGCTTTATCTCCTTTTTTACTGGGCATGACTGGTTTAACTGCAAGGTCTGTTGGATGCCAGAATGCTTCAAAGATGTTAGACGGCTCAGAACCTGTTGCAGCACCAGAAGTTGTCTTTGGACGTGCTTTCCTCATACAGAAACTAGGTGGAGTGGCCACCACATCAAGATTCTCTGAACAAGTCTGCTCAGCTTTCAACACGGTATCAGGCTTAACAGAACACTCATCCATGAGCATGTCCACCTGATTTACGCAGTTCTCTTCATTTCCATCAGTTCCTTGAGTCCTATGTTTTTCATCTGCTGTGGATCCAGCATTATCTGATCCATCATTATCATCAGGTGCATCGCCTTCTGGATTTTCACCAAAATCAAGCTCCATGTCATTATTTTCGATCTTAACTTCAGCCTCATTTTCGTCTGTTTCTGTGGGAGGGCGCCTGTAGTTCCCCTTGGCCTTTTCCCTTTGCAAATTTCTCTTAGCTATGCGAGACATTCTAAGGACATTTACACCCTTCAAACCATCAGCCTTACAAGGTTTTGGATTATTTTTCTTACCAGTTTGCACATTCTTAACAGGAGTCGTGAACGCCTTGGCGGAATTTTCATCTTTCTTGCGTAGGTGTTCACAAGTCTTGGGTGGCGTCAGCTGTCTCGGGGGTTTATCCCCATTTCGCTCAGCTAAATATGGCGTAGTGGGAGGTCCAACCATGTTATCAAAGGCAGGCTGAGGAGGTAAAGGAATCATCGGCATACTGTTCCTCCAAAAGTTGTGTGAACATAATTCAGTCCACTGTAGTCTTTCAGCTGGGTCTTTCATGAGTAAGCAGTTGATCAGATTCTGGAAAGACCTTGGTGTGTTATCAGGTAAAGGTGGTGCAGGCTCTGAAAGTATGGATTTGACTAACTGGGTAAATTCACAGCCCACAAAAGGAGGTCTTCCTGCATAGCATTCGTAAAGCACACAACCAAGAGCCCAGAAATCAGAAGCATATGAGTGGACCCCTCCCTCTTGGAACAACTCAGGAGCCATGTAACATGGTGTCCCCCTCATAGGTTGTGGCACCTAAAAACAAGGTATTCGAACCGGGGGGAATCATTAAAATAAGATAAAACCAAACAAAATGAAATGCTTGATGAAAAGGAAATGGGAGCTCACAACTCCAGGATCGGTCTTCTCAATGTCCTTTAAACGTCTTGCTAATCCAAAATCACACAGCTACAACAATAAGGGGAAATTACTGTTACTTCCCAGCAATTGTCTATTCTTTTGCTGTCACTGTATTTACATAGTACACAGTGGTCTACTGATTACCTTCATGCATCCAAACTCATCAATTAGAATGTTAGATGGCTTCAGATCACAATATATAATTCCTTGTGAATGCAAGAACCTAACACCCAACATGTTTTCAGTCAATCAAAATCCACCCATAACACAATAGATATAATGAAACGAGGTTACCAAAGAAACTTTACAGGAGGGCTTTGACAAGATCATAAGCCAGGTCGTGCATGGCACTTTCAGGCAGCTTTTTATCCTGCATGAAAATACATAGGGTGAGACATGAGACAAAATACATAAAGACAAAGCAAGCATAAAAATGGGTAGCATTTCTCTTCACTGATGTTACATATAGTAAAAGGTCTACATGTCTACTCACACAACAGGTCTATGGAACACAAACAGGCACCACAGAGAATTACGTGGGTCACCCTTATCAACACGTGTTGTCTAGGATGACAAGCAAGCAGAAAAATGGGGTAGCATTTGTCTTCACTGATGTTACATACAGTTAAAGATCAAATCTACTCCCGCAACAGGCCTCTGGAACACAAATAACCACCACAGAGAATTATGTGGCTCGCCCTTATCAACACGTGTTGTCTAGGATGACAAGCAAGTACTGGTAAACAGGCTAGCAAAAGCTTTGCGCCGCAACAATATAATACACTACTAAAAACAATAGTACAACATTATCAGGATAGCAAATAAATCAAGCATTTCTTAGAGTCGAAGACTATGCAGGTTGCTTTGAGTGTTTCCAAGTGGAGAAAATGGAGAGCAGCACTCCAGTTTCCCATCTGGAGGCAGTTAATTATCTAATCCTTTTCCAAGTGGAGCACAAGCAAGACTAAAATTCGTACTTCAACGCATGAACACAAAGTATAAAAACCGTAAATGCTAGAATAAAAGAAAAATAGAACTAAGATCGTAAAAGCAGGTGGTTCGGGCTGACCGTACTTCAATGAAATGACAAATAGTTTTCTTGAGAAAAAATAGTTTTAGTAGCATTCACAACTTCAAGTTGTCAGATTGAAGTTTCTTTCAATGTGCACAATTATAAATAACAACAATAACAAGATTGTGCGAAACATCTATTCCTGTTGGAAGAACAATTAGCAAGTCCTATAAAGTTTCATGTGGGATTTTCCTAAAAGCTGATAAAAACGATTAGTTTTGTCGCTTGTACTTCTAGTTCAAATATTCCAATCTCCTAAACTTTAGGTGTAATTTTTTCTCACGTATACTCCCTTCGTTCCTAAATATTTGTCTTTTTAGGGATTTCAAATGAACTACCACATACGGATGTATATAGACATATTTTAGAGTGTAGATTCACTCATTTTGCTCCGTATGCAGTCACTTGTTGAAATCTCTAGAAAGACAAATATTTAGGAACGGAGGGAGTATGTGATATCTGCAGAATATATCAGTTGCAAATGGACACAAAAGGATGCTTTGTGTTCCCTTCTTCAAATTAGTGAAATGCATACAATGCTTAAAAGGATAAGCAAGATACCTGCTCGAGCAAGCCCTTGAGGTCTCCACCAACACAATATTCCAATACTAGCCAAAAATGTGCTGAAGTTTCGTACCTAGGGAGAAAAGCAAGGCATAGTTATGGTATGCACTTGAATGGTCAAATGTTAAGTGAAGAATAAGGATAACCTCAACAAGACTAGCAAAGTACTTGTCATTGCTAATTTGCTATACTGCAAAATTAGCACAGGCCAAAGCAATACGTCAATATGAATCCTTAAAAACTTACCAAGAGTAAAATTTCAGGACATTTGCATGATCTAAAGAATGAAGCATCCGGACCTGCAAAGGTAAGTTCAAAAGCATCATTGGCACAAAGGAACAAACCATAAATAAACAACTTATGAGCATAAGCATTGATCAAACTTATGATAGAACATCTAAGACCAAGCTTGAGAATGATTCTCTATCTGGTAACATTTTATCTACCTTGTAGATAATTACCCTCGGGCAGTTGCTCAGAGACAAAGGCACATCCAAAAGAAAAACAAGTCCTTAGAAGCGACAATAGCAAAAACTAAGTACAAACCCGAAGAAAGAGCAGCATTTGCCAATAGTAAGTCAACAACAATCATTAGTGAGCGCAGGTTGTAACTTATCCTCATGGGCACATCTCTTCTATAATAGGGTATGAAAAAAACTCTGCAAAATTATTAGGAAGTTGATGTTTTCCCAGCGCTTATGAAAAACTAATAATTCGTGATGCTTTGTGACAGGAGAAAAACAGCACGGCATTTAGGGCATCTCCAGCCGCGCCCCCAACAGGGCCTCCCCAGGTGATTTTGTCGCGCCAGCGCCAAAAAAAGGCCCCAGTCGTGCCCCCAGAAGGCCGTTTTTCGCCGGCTCGGGCCAAAACTGGTGCCGGCGGACCCAGGCCGAACCCGGCGCCCTGGGGGGCGCTTGGGGAGCCGGCGCAAGCGAAAAAGGTGCGTGGGCCCGCCATGGAGGCGACCCGAGGGCCTTTTCCCGCTGTTTGTTGACGCTTTTCCCTCGCATCTCTCCCGCTTGCTCGCCTTCCTCCCGCCATTCTCCCCCTTCCTCCCGCCAAACCCCCTCCCGCTCGCCTTCCAGTCACCGCCATGCCGCCGAAGAAGTACACCATGCCGCGCGCGGCGGCAAACGCGATTGGCGCCGTGGTCCAGCCGAAGCAGAGGAAGCCGAGGGCGCCGCCATCGAAGCCGCCGGGCATGTCGAACGCCGAGTGGAGGGTGGAAGTTCAGCGGCGCGAAGCAGTCACCGCCGACAGGCGGAACAGGGCCATCGCCAAGAAGGCCCGCGACAACGCGGCGCGCTTGGCGGCGTCTTCCTCATCGGTCGACCAGGCGGGGATGAATCCACCCGTTGTCAGCCACGCCCAGTACGCGCCCTGGGGACAGCAAGGCGCCGGATCTCCATGGGGTTCATCGTCGCCCGGCTACGCCGACGGCGACGCGCACGGTGGGTTCAACCCGAACGTGACCTTCCCTCATGGTCACCCCGCTACGCGCACGCCCTCGCCCGCCTTCGTCGGCGTGCAGTACCCTCCATACAACTACTCGCCGCCCGCCTCCTACGCGTCCACGCCGACGCCCCATCTCTACCGTGGACCTCTACCCTTCTCGCACCTCGGCGACGCCGACGACACGGGAGCCGACATGGACGACATCATCGCGACAGGATCGACCTCGGCCGCCGCCTCTCCCGGGTTCGCCACCCAGGACGAGGTAGTGGATCTCAGCGGCGACATGGAGGCCGAGTTCGGCTACGTCTACGGTGAGGACACACAGGAACCCGAGGAGGAGGAGGAGGAGGAGGAGGAGGACGACGACGAGCCGGCTCCTGTTCCGGCGAAGGGGCGCTAGAAGAAGAAGAAGCGGGCGGCCTGGTCAGGCGAACCGCGCATCAAGTGGACGTCCAAGGAGGAGGAATGCCTCGCCGAAGCATGGAAAGTCGTCTGCCTCCACCCGACCACCGGCTGGAGACGTACTGGGACCGCATCAAGGCCGAGTTCGACGAACGGAAGCTCGTCGACCCCTACTTCAAAGGTGTCTACATGCAGCGCGGCTCCAAGGTGATGGCGAACCATTGGGGCCGTGTCCAGTTGGCGTGCAACAAATGGCATGAAATCGTCAAGGAGGTCGCGGCTCGCCCGGAGAGCGGCGCCAGCGTTGAGGATCAGCTGCTGCGTATGTTCGCCATGTATCGGGGCGACAACCAAGACGCCGACTTCAAGCACCTCCACGTCTACAAGCGCATTGACAAGTGCGAGAAGTGGGCGGAAGTCCGGCGTGCCCTCGACAAGGCCAAGGAGACATACAAGCCGGACGCGCCGACTCCGGGTGCATCAGAGGGGCGGCCGGACGGCCACAAGTTGGCGAAAAAGGGGGAAAACGCCGACGCGGCAACCGCGCGAGTGCAGGAGTCCATCGAGCATTGCCTCGCCGACGCGCAGGCCCGGGCCGTCCTGCGCGAAGAGAAGACCGAGGCGCGGTGGTCGTCGCTGATGAAGAACAACGCCATCAAACTCGACCTGCTCCGGATGAACGTCGCCGCGAAGAAGAGGAACACCGACATGGCTTTTCTGATGAGCGGGGCGGACATGCTCCAGAGCAACGACGAGAAGCTCAAGGCGTGGTACCTGGTGCAGCGCGGCCTCATCCTGAACAAGCTGCCGACGGCAACGCCGACGACGCCGACGACGCCCACGACTACCCGGACGCCAATCCCAAACGACGCCTCTACGTCGCCGCCCAGCAGTGCCGAAGCCGCGCCGACACAGCCCAGCACCGAAGCAGCTCCGACACCGCCGAGCCCGCGCACGCCGACTCCGCCAACGCCTGGAGCCGACCCCGCCGAGTGAATCATTGCGCACACGAACTCTGTTTTTTGTAACGCCAGACTACGTCCGATCGCCGGATTTGCGGCGTCTTGTGTGAGCGGGAACGACCAAGTTTAAATTTCCTGCATCCTGGGGCCGGCGCGTGGGGGCGTGACTGGGTGCTAGGTCGCCCCCAGGGGCCGAACTAGCGCCGGCACGCCCCCAGGCCGCTCTATTTAGGCGTCCTGGGGGGCCGAACGGCTGGAGATGCCCTTAGCACATCAAGCTTATCATTATCTTAGTCACAGGTTACATTTAGCCTGGGGCAGTTAAGTTTCCCCTTCATACTGCATCATTCTCAAGCAAAAACTAAGCAGAAATCAAAATCGACGCGGGGAGAGAGGGGCTGGCTCACCTCGTTGAGGAGCTTGGAGCGCTGCGACTTGTCGACGCTCTTGACGGCGAAGTACTCGATGGCTTTCTTCTTCCGCCCCTTGTACACCATCTTCCGCACCACAACCCCACCCCAAAAAAAACTGAAACAATCAGAGATCCCTTGCATACGAATCAGCCCCGGCCCAATAGGGGCGGATCCGAGGCCGGGGTAGGGGGCGAAACCGGCCGGAATGGAGGAGGCGGGGGCGGAGGGTCACCGAGTGCTTGCCGCGGCCAATGGCCTCGTAGACGTGGAAGTTGTTCATGGCGGAGCAGCAATAGCTGGAGGGGGGAGGAGGAGGAGGAGGGCTCCCCCTCGGGTCTCCGGCTAGGTTTAGGGCTTCTGATTTGAGGCGGCCGGAGAAGTGCACGAAATGGGGAGCGGAGCGGAGAGGAGAGAGTGAGCGGGGTTTCGGTTTCCGAGGAGACGCTCCTGATTGATTTTTCGAATTTTGCATCATTTTCGTCATCGGTTTGGCTGTGATTGTTTCACATGAGACCTTGCCTTTGTGTCTTTTTTTGGGGGGTAAAATTGTTCTGTTCATTCCGGAATTTCCGACGCAATCGCATGCAAAATACAGCCCGCCGGCACATGAAGCCAAACCTTACATGACTCATCATTGCTAACACCCTCTCGCGCCATGATATGCGCTACTCCATTTATTGATCTCCGCGGTCCTCGCCCATTTGATCTTGTGATTCTCAAAAGACTTGAGCATTTCTTTTAATCTTCAATAACTGGCCTAACTGCCGAGAGGTTTTTGGTTGAGTCGTTGATCATGCTTGCCACACTTTTGCTATCAAGCTCCACAAATAATCTTCATGACACCCATCTCAACAGCGAATTGCACCGCTCTCCAGAAATAGTTGGGAAGTAGTGGCACACAGCAGCCCAGAACGTGTTGTCGTGATCGCGCATCACCACTCCCGCGCCACTCTTCTTTCCCATCTTGGACGTGACGCCATCGTCGTTAGCTTTGAGCCACCCCTCCGTCGGCGGGAGCTGCACTTTGGGAGCACACCGACGCCGGCGGGATCGCCAACGGTACTCCCATCTCTGAGCGCATCAACTTCTAGAAGCACGACAAATGTGGACACAACCAGAATCTACGCAACATATCTTCCTCTTTGCCACATGCAACACAAAATACCCCGGGCTTGATCTTCCTTTTGTGGAGTTCGGCTCCTAGAGCAAGTTTATTCCACATGAGTCTCCACGTGTGGATTTTCGCTTTGCCCGGCGCACAAGTGTCCCAAAGAGCTAACCACCCTTTGTGTTTTAGCCCGTCGAGAAGGGGTCTGGCTGCTCAGGCACCTTTCATAGCCATTCCTAAATGGTGTGCGTGTCTAACAAGGAACTTGCCACTTTTTGTGAATTTCCAAGCAAGGTAGTTTTCGTTGTTCGGTTTGCAATATGTCATTAGTGTCATCATCCCAAAACATTTGTGCCACCTTGGTTCTACCCAATTGGTGCCATGATCATTCAGTAAATCACAAACCCTTGTGATGCCATGCACATAATCCTTGCCCAGTGGCTTTACGCTGCCTCTCTCTAGTATCCGGTTATCATGATGGATATTGATCCTACTACCATCTCTAATCCTCCACAAATACACCTTCTCGAAGGTGGTCTATAACTTGTAGAATACTTCAGAAAGTGAAAGAAGCATTGGTTGGGCATGATGCATTCATGATGCTTCCCTCTCTAAAAATATGTGTCCTTCAAAACTCTTGCACACATGGAAATTCGGACCTAGAGGATCCCCCACGCTTGTTTATCTAGCAAAGCTTGATTAAATACCTCAAAATTTCATAAACCCATCACGGCTTCCCGCTTTGTAGCGCACACCTTATCCCATGCAATCCAGTGTACATTCCTATCATCATTGGCTGCACCTCAACAAAAGTTAGAAGAGATTGAGGTTACGTTCCGGCACGTTTTCTTTGGGGATTGAAAATAGCTCATAGTGTAAGTTGGTGTAGACTGGAGGGAGAATTTGACAAGCACCTCTCTAGCTGCCTTTGATTGCCCTTGGACCTTCTATCCCATGACTTTACCTTTTGATGATTCTTTCACATTCTTGAAAGTCCCATCTTTGGATCTATCTATCACAGTTGGCAGGCCAAGATAACATTCACTCAAAGGTTTCGAATCATTGCCTAGAATTCCTTTCAATTCATCTTTTCCCTCAACCAGACTTCCTTTACTAGAAAATATAGATGACTTGTTGAGATTTACATTCTGGCATGAGGCCGCTTCATACACATTATGGATGTTTTTAGCACTATAAAATTACTTTGTTATGCCTCAAAAACACAACATTGTCATCAGCAAAAAGAAGGTGAGTAACATTAGGGCAAGTGCTCTCAAAGGAAACACCCTTCAGCTCATTCTCTCTATGTGTATTTTTTTAGTAAAGAAGAGAACCCCTCTACATAGTGCAGAAATAAATATGGCGAAAGTCGGTCCCCCTATTGAAGCCCCCTCGAAGGAGTAAAACTTCTCAATCATCCCCCATTCAGTTTGACAGTGAAAGTTCCAGTTGTGATACACCTCATAACCATTGCTATCCACCTGCCTGAGAAGCCAAACTTATTCACCATTCGCTCCAGGAAAATCCACTCCACCTTATCGTATGCCTTCATCATATCCAACTTTGTGGTGTAGAGTGGTTTTTTCCTTTTCCTTGTTCCAATTGCATGTACACATTCGTACGCTACAAGGACATTGTCAGTTGTTAGCCTACCAGGCAGGAAAGCATTTTGTTCCTCTGAGATCAGAATTGGTAGCACCACCTTTAACCTGTTCACCAACACTTCCGCCGCTATTTGGTATAGTACATTACAAAGACGAAACTGAGTAAGAAGCTCCGGTGAGTTTACTCTGGGGATCATCACAAGAACAGTGTCACTCAAAGAACTTGGTAAATTTACCCCATGCAAAAAATCTTGAACCCCATAACACACACCGTCCTTTACCAACCCCATGTGGCATTGGTAAAATAAAGCCGGCATGCCGTTCGGCCTTGGGGCCTTTGTTGGCCCCATCCGAAAAAGTGCATGCTCGATCTCCTCGCTAGAGAAGATCACACACAACTTCACCTCCATATCCTTCGTGAGATAGCACTCAATATGCTTAGGAGCTGCTCCGCCTCTGCCGACCCATCCAACGCAAATAGGTGCTCATAGAAATCAGCAGCTAAAGCCCTCATCTCCTCATCTACAATGCAGTGGGTCTGTTCGATTTGAGCAGCACCTTAACGTTATTTTTCCTTTTCCTATTTGATGCACAGTTCTGAAAAATAGTATGTGTATGTATCCTCGGCTTTCAGCCAATCCACCCGCGAACACTACATGTACATCAACTCCTCTTTGGCATATATCTCATGCAGTTGGGCTTCGAAGTGTCGGACCTCCAGTGCTCACTTCGTTCAATGGGTCGCGCACCATGGAGTGATACTGCCTGTATTGGGTCCACATCTTCATGTATCTAAAACCTTTCCTCTCCCTTGCATGTTGTTATCCGGTGATTCAAGAGACCTGGTCAGGAGGGCCACATGGCCTGACTCCTCAGTTAATACATGCTCCATCGTCGTTGCTCAGAATAACGACAAGAAATCCAAGATGCAAGTGCCTTTGTCCAGCCTGACTTGAATGTTTTTACCAGCATCCCTTTTGCTATCCCATGTATACGGGTAGCCAAAGAATCCTAGGTCTTCTAGGCCGCTATGGTCCAAGCATTCTTGGAAGCCCTTCATATGTGCAAGACTACGTGGTTTGCCGCCTAGCTGTTCGGATTGGAATAATAGCTCATTGAAATTGCCTGCACATAGCCAATGTAATTAAGTCATCTTGAGATTTTAGATAGTGAATAGCGTCCCATGTTTTCTTTCTCAGCTCCATCTTAGGCTCCCCATAGGTTCCAGTCAACCTAAAGGTTTTGCCATCCACGGTAATCGCCGCATCAAGAAAATATTGGCACGAAGGCATAACAAACACCTGCAAATTATCCCTCCACCATAACGCAAGTCCTTCACTTTTTCCATCACAGTCCACTACCACACTTTGTCAGAAACGAAGACTCCACTTAATCTCCTCGATAGCCCTGACTTTCTTCTTTATCTCACTAAAAAACTGCTGGATTATAGGACCTAACCAAGTCATGAAGTTCGCCCACTGTCGTGTCCAACCACAATCTCGACGCCGACTCCACAAATACCCCTCCCTATCTACATCAGGATGAAACCCTAGCCACTTCCCACTCCACTCCACTCTCGGCCGGCTCTGATCCCCCTAGCTCCTCTCCAGTGATCCCCGACCTTCTCTGGCATGACAAGAAGCGACTGATTAGTATACATTTGTATAGACTTGATCAAAGTTAAAGAAGTTTGATGTAGGATAAACCTATAACTTCAACTAATTTGGAATATATTTGCCCTGTGTGTTGTTACAAAGGGCCGCGCGCCTTTTCGTCGCACTGCTCAATTTCATAGATTTGTAATATATTTGGCAATATATTCTAGATTGTATTAGGGGACGGGGCACCTTTTTTCTCAATGTTTTTTAGCTTGATTTGTTCTATTAATTAATTCATGGTTCGGAACTAAGATGGGCTTCAGATGGGCCTGGTTCTATTTTCAGGATCGCTCCAGGTGAACACTCGGCGAAGATAAATGTTGATGGAGGATTGTCACGCAATGGACGCATGGGCGCTGCTGCAGCAGTTTGTCGAGATAAGGATGGCAAGTATCTGGGAGCCTCGGCGACGATTTTTGAAGGACTAGTTGATGCACCAAATCTGGAAGCTTGTGCATGCAATGAAGCCCTCTCCCTAGCAAAGGATCTCAACATAACACATGTGATAATAGCTTCAGATTGTATGCAGGTTGTCTCGGATATCAACCAGGGTGCGCATTCACCTTATTCCATGATTCTAGATGAGATTAGAGATAGAGTAAAGGAATTTGTTAAAGTTACTTTTCGTTTTGAGGTTAGGGAGGCGAATTTTGAAGCCCATGCCTTGTCCAAGGCAGCTTCGTCGCTTCCGGAAGGTCGCCATATGTGGCTAGGGATCCCTCCAAACATTATTTGTATTCCGAATGTTCTGATCAATGAATAAAATCCCTAGTTTCCCAAAAAAAAAACATAAATATGTCTATGCAATCACGTGGGCTGCTTGGATGTGTTGCCGGTAATTCTTGTTTGTCGCTCATTGAGACGAGATGTCGGGCAATCACACAAAGGAAAGTTAGGCCAGCCCAATTAG